TTTACAATTTGTTCAGTTATAAACCATTTTTACATGAACAAACACCCACAAAATTCATATGAACCACAATTTTCAAAATCTTGCACAAAAGGATAAAAATTTCAGTATCTCTGCATGTTTTAAACATATATTTTTAGAAATGTATTTAGTAGCTAGTTTTCAAGTAGATGCATGGCTGTCATTGAGGCGACTCCTAACTCCTCACACCCTGCTCATCCTCCCAGGGGTCCAAGGCCTGGCCAGGCAAGCAGTGGAGACAAGAGGCAGAGTCAGACCTCATACCGGGATATTCATCTCTACATGTGAGCAGGGAACACTGATCTTTCAAGCCTCTGACATTCAGGTTCTTTCACTTTCTTTCCATTTACCTGCACTACTACTTCTTTAACACACACACACACACACACACACACACACACACTCTTAGACACAGAAATAAAACCCAAGTAGTTGATAAAGAACAGCACTAAAGAAGTGAAATGAGTTTTTCTTAATATCTATGAATTTCAATTCTGCCTGCTATGGTGATTTCCCAGTACAAAGGCATCTGAACAAGTTTAAGACAGAATCACATGCAAAAAAATAAAAAAATTCAATTGTTAATAACTGAGTTTTTAAACTGCTAGTCAATGTCATATTCTATTCCACAATGCAACTGTCAAGTATTTGTAATAATTACTAAAACAGTATATGAAGACTGGAAAACTTACCTTTAAGGATTCCCATAATGGAAACTGGACCAATGAGAAAGGTATCTGAAGGAGGGGGGGAAAAAGTCAAATAAATTAGACAAAAGATTAGTATGGCAAACATTACTTATTGGAGACATTTTTCATTTTAAGCTTATGTACATAATAAAGTTAATAGTAAATAAACATATAAGCACAACCTATCTAGAGTTTAGGAGGAGTTAAACTGTAACTACCTATACAATTCTACTAACTCTGAGCCCAATATATACAAAATGATGCGCTGAAGCCCATTTGAAAGGGCAGCACAATATGCTTCTTCTATGGGAAGTATAGATAAGGTGTGTAGGGGGTGGGGAATGAAAAAAAAAATGAAAGGAGAGTGAGAGAAGTAGAGAGAGAAAGGGATAGAAAGAATTAGACAGGTGAGGAAAAAGGAAAAGACAGAGTCACAAGTGTAAGCTGAGAAACAGGGTAGAGCAGAACAACCAACTTGAGTATGGGAAGTCCAGACCCTGTTAGGGTCAGAGGAGGGCAAGACTGAACAGAGCAGCTGGATTCAATGTTTGGCCTGTACACACAGCAGTCAGGGAGAAGAGTAATCTGCAGTAGTGAAGAAGTGGCAAAGACTGTCACTACACTTAAACATTTACAGTTAGGTCTCTAACTGTAAGAGCCAGAATTACCCACCACACCACATGTGTCAAACACCATGTTAGTAAGCACTTCACAAATTTCATTTCATTAAATCCTCACACAACATCCCCACATGACAACTAGATATTGTCCCAATTCACAGATGAGAAGACTAAAGTTTCAAGAAGACCTATGGTACTCAGTTAGGAAATAAGAGCCCAGACTATCTCCCTCCAGAACCTGTCAAATCTACCCAAATCATCTAAATGCATTTATCTGCATGGGAATCCACCCAATGAAGTACAATCTATTTGCTATGCGATAGGGCCAGGGATGTCACTGCTCACCAACAGGCCATGGGCCCAGTGTTGTTATTCTATATTCTCTTCAGCTATAAGTGAAGCCAAAGTGTGAACTTTGAACATTATCAATACAAATATATTGTTACAATATGAAAGACCATGATTTTATAGGAATAATTAATATTTATTGTCTCATAAATTAAAAGGCATCAAATTACTTTTGCAACACTTATATTTAATCACTAATGAAGTCTAGAATCATCTGTCTTACTTTGCTTAAGTAAATGATGGCCCTAAGCTTGACAGCAGTCACAGAAAGAAAATGTCTTCCATTCAGATTAGAATGGTAGCGATGAAAAGAAAATACCAGTGTCAGTGGATTAGTTAAGACAACTAAAATCTCAGAGAAGTTTGTGATTTTCCTAAATAAACTCTCCCCCACCAAGAATGCCAAAGTATCATAACAGGAGACAAATTTAGTTGTGTATGTTTGTGTGTTTGGTTTGTTATTGTCACCAAGATGTGAATGCATCTGTCACTGCCTACTCTGAAACTAAAGTGCTGCATTTCCAATTAGATTATTAACCCTCCCTAAGCCCCCTGACTATAACAGTTTTCCAAAACTTTCCTAAGTTTTAAAAATTTATATGTAACAAAATATTTTAAAGAACAGTGGTTTATAGATGATTTTAATTTTTTCTTTGTACTCTCCCCTCCCAAATGTAAACATATCACATTTTAACAAGAATGAAAATATTTCACATTTACAAGAAAAGAAAGGGATTTATTAGCTCATTGTAATGTTCCATATTAGCATTCTTTATTTCTTGATTAAAATAATCCATAAAATTACATTATACACTAGCTATACTTTTTTGGGTACTTAATAAATATTAAATTTTGAATCCTCTAGATTCATTTGCCCATTTTCCTCTATTAAAAGCTATTCATTAAATCATTCTTTCAACTTGAAGAAGTAATTTAAAAATCACACATTTGGAATGGCCGAACTATTCCACTGGGTATTTATTTAAAAAGTGAGCCGACAGTAAATTCCAACTTTACTCTCTAAAACAAGATTAACTGATGGCCTAATGTAATTAAATGTGCTGTAAATGCTTGAATAATTAAATTGGTTTCTAGTAGTGAAATATCATGCATAAGATAAACGACTGATGTGTAAAAAAATTTCAAACATTCTTCCAATCAAAATCATACTGCAAGCTTGTCCTTTCCACTATGAAGACAAACAATGAAAATGTGCCCCACACATGTAAAAGCAGCACTGCCACCAAAGAAGGCTTCACAGCTAGAACAAATACTTCTTCCAACTTCCACAGAACATGGGCCTGTTGGAAAGCTAGCAGCCTCCCCGTTTCTGCTCTGGGGTTACATAACAGCGATGTTTCTTCAAAACATGGGATTTTAAAACCCCAAACAGATGTAAGCTGTTATTCTAAAATGTTTTATAGATGAAGAAAATGAATAGCTGCACTCAGAGGTCTTATATTCCAAAACACAACATACCCATTTTATTGCATGAAAGTTACAAAATGGCTCACTGTTGTGACCTTTTTAATGCCTCTATTTAAGATGTTTTGTTTGAATAAGGTTGTTAAGATCCAGGGCAATAATAAGTGAGTGGCAGTAAACCCAGCTACCATCAAAGAGGCAGATGTAGGGGGGAAACCTGCTAAAATTCAACATGGATTCCACTCAGTAGTAAACACATCAATGATTCTATGTAAGAATGCATGTGAGGATCCTAGTGCAGTAGACAAAATGAAACACGAATGTGGTAAACCTGGGAAGGAACTGTTGAGCATTACTAATGAAATAAAGACTGTGCAAAATTATATGATGTACCTGCCTTACCTGTCTATTGGACTAAATTTCCCTTGAAGTCAAGCAATGCTTATAAATCTGTAATCATACTCTTGAGGTCCTTTGTTTAAAAATAAATAAAGTGACTCTTAACTAAGAAGATATGAAGCTGTGATTTCTAAGGATATCAGTAAGCTCTAAATTGGAAATATAATAGAAATAGCACATTATAATTCCTGCACATTTTTTAGAAATAAGACGAGCATAAACGCCAATGAACACAATACTAACATAAGTGATCTAAGAAGCCTAAGAAATAAAAAAATGCATTTTAAAAGCTGTGAAGGCTGATACTTGGCAGAAAAAACCCAAATTCTTGAGTAATAAGACCAAAAAAAAAGACTATTTGCTAAGACCCAAAGTAGATGGGATTTGCAGAACAGCACAAAACTTGAAGACTCACATGGAACACAGAGTAGACCCAGGGCTGACCCATCCTAATATCCAAGGGATCCTACAAATGATCCTCTCTTTGTTTGATGTATGAAAATATCAAAATTTCTGTGCAATATCAAAATTTAGAGTTTTCCATTCTATTGTCACACTGATAATTCAGTCAAGCTCTCCTTAAATACTCTGCCTTTCCCTATTCAACCCCAGTATTAAGGAAGGGCAAATAAAACTGAAGTTTTTAAAATCCTTTTGCCTAAAGTGACTACTGTTCATTAAGAAAAAATGAGAGCTGGTCTGTTAACATCTGACATATCAGTAAATAATTTCAACAATAAATGCATACTGACTTGATTTAACAACTGTCATCCATTTATGCACATCATACATACATAAAAGAAAGAATATATACCTAATAAAGGAAATTAACCCAAAGTAGGCAAAGCTGACAGTGAATTACTTCTTAGGTTTGCAAGATATAAAAATTACTAAAATATCTTTCCAAATAAAGCACAAATTGAACATAGTATCAAATCTAATACAGAAAAGGAGATAAAAGTTAGCAGTTTGCTTTTTAAGTATTGAGTCTCAAAGAAATCATAAGGATAACACCAACTGCTATCTCATTGTACTAGATACAAGAAGTCTTTAGTAAGTGCTATCACCAAAAACAATGATTAGATTTTCTCTCTACAGTCTCTAGAGTCATCACAGTAAGTATGTATGATCTAAAAAACTGGCTTATCAATTTACATGTTGATATGCCAGTTTTACAACTTTGTAACAACAGTCCCTCCTTTGTCTAAAGTACAAAAAAATTTGTTTCTCAAATGTATATGTATTTCACAACACATGATAAAATGCTTCTCAAAATAAAAATAGAAGAGAAATTCTTAATCTGACAAAGAATCACCACAAAAAAAATAAAGCTACTATCATTACTATTGGTGAATGACTATCCTTCCTTTCAGGCAATATTTAAGGCAAGAATGTTTTTTTTTCCCTCGCCATTTCTATTCAACATGGCACCAAAGATCCTAGTCAGTGAAATCAGACAAGAAAAAGAAAAACCACCAAAACTGGAAACAAGTAAAACTGTTCCTTTCACAAATTGCTCAACTAGTTGTATGCAAAACCCTAAATGTGGTTAAGGAAGGAAGTAATACATTCCTCTCAAATTGAATGCCTAAATACAAACAAATAAGAGAACAATTTTTTTTTCTTATAAAAAAAATTCTATTTTCAGCAGATTTAAAATAACACAAACTTTTAAGGAGTAACAAAAGGCATACTGGACTTCTCTACTGAAAATTACAGGGCATTTTTTAAAAACTCTAAAGAAGACTTAAGTAAATACAGAATATAATTTTAATAGACTGGAGGAATAGTCTAAAATAACAATTAGCCACCATTTATTTTAACACAACCCCAAAAAATTCCAGCAGACTCACCTTTCTTTAAATAAATAAATAAATAAATTGAAAAGCTAATTCTAAAAGCTACCTGAAAACAACAGGGACCTAGAATAGTCAAAATAACCCTTAAAAAAAAAAAGTTGGAAAACTAACATTATTTGATTTCAAGGATTACTATAAAGCTACAGAAATTAGTACAGAAACTAGGATATAGTTCTAAGGATGACAAAACAATGAAACAGGAGGTGGTATTGGGAAAAAAAAATATTTCCAATAAGTGGCACTGAAACAACTGAATAAAAATATTTGAGCCTTGCCCCCACCACTTAACTATATACAAAATTAATGCAGGATAATTCACTGACATAAACATATAAACTAAACCTAGAAAGCTCTAGAAGGAAATAGAGAAAAATAGCTTAGTGACCTGAAGTAGAGA